GTTGTTGCTCTTGCTCTGTGTTGATCTTCCTCTCCTTCACTGGTAGTTTAGATATTCTTGATGGACCAGCCTTTTGTTGTTCAATATTAGCATTTGCAAATGAGTTTGTAAAAGATCTAGCTTGAGCATAAACTATTTGCCTTCCTTCGTCATCATTATCACTGCCAATAGGACTAATTATCCCTTCATTTGCATTTGAATCATCATCCAATTCATCAAAAAGCACATTGTCTTCATTAGCATTAATTGTCTCTTAAAAGCCTAATGGTCTTGACTAATGGTACCCAAATCTTCTTCATTCTGTTCACCAAAAACAACATTTTGTTGCACATATGAGGCTAAAACAATGTCATCATGATCCACGTAAACACATACCTCATCATGCTTTTTAAGAATTTTTCTAATGTCAACAATGCTATGATGACTTGAAATGGCCTTTATATCACTCAAATTGAACCCCAGCCGCTTGAAATATACTTAATTCTGCTCAATTCCTTCATAGCCTAAGCCATTTATAAAACCCATGATTTGTTCAATGGATAATGTCATGTCAGGGACCCCAAATGCCACCCATTTGCCACCCATTTGCCACCAACATAATCACCTAGTGGTCCATCATCCAACTGACCATTGTGAAAAGGTGTCAATGCACCTATATACTCGGCATCAACCATGTCTGTGAATAAAGACAAAAAAAAAAAAGTTAAACCCCCATTTTGGTCCCTCAACTATGGTACGGACCCTCCGATTTGGTCCCTCAACTCAATAAATCCCTAATGTGATCCCTACTATTTACCATTTTGACCCCAACTCAGTTCTTCTATTAAAAACCAGTGACGTGTCCTGTTAACTAACGGGACCACAATGACCTGTCAAAATAGTGTGACATGTCAGATGCACACCTAGAAAAAAGAGGACATGGTAGTATGACATGTCTCATTCCTACCCAAAACCAAACCAAAAGAAAAAAAAAAGGTGGGGCCCACCACCTGCATAAACTGAACCCTTCTCCCCTTCTCCCCTTCTCCCCTTTTCATCCCATTCAAACCCTAGAACAACAGAGCCTTTCCATTTCAAGCCCTCCTTGTAGAAAAGCCAAGATTCCCCTTTTTCTTTCCTCTTTTTGCTGGCAAATTTACGATCATTCACTTTTGAATCTTCAAATTGAAGAACAATGGAGTCTCCCAACATCATAGATGTCCTAACTTTTCTCCATTTCAAAACCCTAAATGAATAGAGCCCTTTTTTCCTTGAAACCCTAAAAGAACAAAGTGTTGGAAATCAACAAATATTTGTTTCTTTTGTTTGATCCTGAGATTAATGCTTTCGAAATCAACCATTTTGTCTATTTTTCAAGTGGGATTTCAAGTAATGGAAGTTGTTGAATTAGTTTCTACTCCTTCAATTAGTGTCGATGCGAGTGATAGTGGTTGTCAAATGACAAATGAGAAATGCAATTGTGGTTTAACACCTGTGTTGAGGATAGCACTGACATTCCAAAACATGGGAAAGACGTTTTAGGGATGTCCAAATTTCCTAGTAAGCCTACTGTTCTTTAATTTGTTCTTCCATTGGATTTCTTTAGTTTAGTGCAGTTTCAAAAGTGAAAAGTTTTCTTTACTTTTGTGTTATTTAGATTGGAAAGGCTTGCAAGTTCTTCCATCTTATCCCAGGTGATGAGGTGATTGAGGGTAGAGCGAGGGATCTGTTACTGAGTTTAAAAGACAAGCAGCTTTGATTTTAGTTCAAGAATGAAAGGTTGAAAAAGGAAAATGCTAATCTAATCAAAGGAAATCATGATTTATTGAAGGAAAAAGCCGATCTGATCAAGGGAAATGATGATTTGATGAAGGAAAATGCTGCATTGTTAGTCAAAAAAGAGAAACTGCTACACGAGAATAGGTTCTTAATAGCTGAATTTCAATCACTGGTGAAGAAGATTAAGAAGTTGGAAAAAAAAGTGAAAAGAAGTGAGAAAATTTGCATAAGATTAGAAAAAATTTCTGTCATTTTGTGTGTATTTTGCACACTAAGTATTATATCTACTATGGGTATGTTTATTACCCTAATGAAGCTGCACTAGAATCCAAGTTATTCAATTTAGAATTGGCCTACATTGGCTTTTGTTTTTGTTTGAACTAAGTGTGATGTGCCTTTTTTGCCTAATAATATAAAATATCAAATATTCTGAACTTTAAAATTGTTATACAGGAACTTGTTAGTGTAGTTACATTTTAGAAAATAAGTACTTACACAAAGTGCATGCCATTCCAAAACAACAATGCTTACATAAATGCAGTATCATATTTATACAAAAATCAGACTTTGCAAACAAAATCCAAGCACAAAATACCAGTTGGCTGCACATTAATATATAAATGCAAGCTCATATTTATATAAAAAATTAGATATTGCAAAAAAATCTAAGCACAAAATACCAGTTGGCTGCACATTAATACATAAATGCAATCTCATATATATATATATATATATATATATATATAAGAAATCAGATTTTGCAAACAAAATCTAAGCACAAAATACCAGTTGGCTGCACCTTAATACATAAATGCAAACTCATATATATATATATACAAAAAATTAGATTTTGCAAACAAAATCTAAATATACACAAAATTAGATTTTGCAAAATCTAAATATACAAAAAATTAGATTTTGCAAACAAAATCTAAGCACAAAATACTAGTATAGGCTGCACATTAATACATAAATGCAATCTCATATATATACAAAAAATCAGATTTTGCAGACAAAATCTAAGCACAAAATACCAGTATGGACTAGACATTAAACCTAAAAACTTAATTAACCTACCATAATTGTTATGCATGAATTATAATCTCTAACAAAAAATATGGCAGCCCTCCTGCACATTCAACCTAAAGAAATACCAAAAACAGTCTCCATCAATCTCAACTTAGAGGTGCTGTGACTATTGTTCCATGGTCTTTTTTAGCACACTTCTTTTGTTGTTCATTTTTTAAACTTCCTTCACCCTAAATAATCAATTTGTGTTTGTTAGTATATTTAACATACATTAAACTACAAAATTAATTAGTTTATAAGTTTCCCATCCCTTTTTTTCTCCTTGCTTTTTGCTTATTGGTTTTTGGTGTAGGTGCCTCATTAGGAGCTTGACTCAAAGGATCCTCCACTTGGCTCATGGGGTTTTCCACATTAACTCCAATGTATCCATCAACAGGCTGAGGTTGAGGTTACTTTTCTTGGGGATTTGCTTGGTCAACATGTTGTTCTCGCTACAAATACATACATAGAAACAGATTAATGTATTAAACACATTGAAAATTTACCATAATAAACTAAAATTTTCATTTACTATGTTTGGTGGAACTC